ATAATATGGAGTCCACTTTGAGTTCCACCACACTGAACCTCTGGGACTCAGCATTCAACCTTACTCTTAATTGTTCATTTAACAGACACTTAGTGTAGTTGGTTGGTTGGTAGAAATAATTATCTGAAAAGACTGTTCCAGACTTTATCTCAGAGGAAGGGGGGATAGGCCTTGGGATAGAATTCTGAGTGGACTAAACTTGCAGCTGCGTGACTCTGAATGGGTAGGGCGAGATGCGGGATGTGAAGGGATCCACAGGACTAGGCCTAGCTATGAACTTCTGAACTTCTGTACCTCCATCAATTTATTTTGTATTCAAAATGCATTTTCTTGTATGGGTAGAACAATGTTCAGGAAAGGGAATTATCTCAACATTCTGTTTTTGTTGATTGATATGTAGAAATGCAGAAACACACATATTGCTTAACAATACAAATAATTTGCACCTGAAATTCATTTGCTTAGTCCCTTGGAGCCCTACAGAACAAAATGTTTGTAACAAATACAGCTGTGCTGGCGATACTATTGCATTAGAGAAAACAAATAGTTGGTCTCTGGTCCAAGGAGCTTATAGTCCAAAGGAAATCAGGGAGGAGTTTTGAGAAACCTGGCTTCTAGTTTGAGTTTGCTGTTTCCCAAATGTGCCCCGTACTTTTAAGATGGTGTGGCTTTGTTTTACGGATTTTGTTTTTTAAGCTGGAATGCCTGTTCTCTTCACCAGCCATCAAAAGCCTACCAGCCTTCAAGGCCCCTCTAAAATGTCACCTCTGTGAAAAGCTTTCCCCATCTCCCACCCTCCCCCAGTCAGATGTCTTTCCCCCTCTTCTTTGTGCTCCTGCAGTCCTTTCGTTAGCTCTTGATTACACTACCCAAATCCACTTATGTTGGAGTTAGTTGCGTCTGTGATTTAAGGGTCAGGGCCCTGCTTTATTCATCAAACTCTCTCTCTAAGCACTTATAGGACAAAAGAAGTCTGGAAACATAGAGAAAAAATGTATATTTAAATAATGCCAGTTATATTTTCAAATATGTCAAATATATTTTCCTTCCATTTCCAGGCAACTTTGCTGGCAAAATGCCTCCCAATTTAAAGCCACGGGTGCAATCACTAATTTGGAAAAAAATTTATAAATAAAGAGTTTCTTTATGTTTCTAGATTTTTTGAGCCTTTTTAATATGGTAATTTCTCCAGAGAAGGTTCTCAATAATTTTTTGTTGAATCATATTGGAGGTATCTTAATTAACCTCTGCACCTCTTTTTCTCATCTGTAAAATGGAAATGCTATCTGCCTTATCTCTTTCACAGGGATATCATGAGGATAAATGAGAAAGGGGTTATGCAAAAAGATAAAGCAGCATGGAAATGCAAAATGTTGTTCTCATTAGTTATCCAAGGATTTACTTTGTGTCCACATTATAGCACTTGAGTATGCGGACTTTGGCTAACCCCATTGCAGCTGCATTAAAGAGGATTGTCTTGAGCTGCTCAAGAGGGAAAGCCAAGAGGCTGATTACAGCTTAGGGCCCCACCACAGCCATCAAAAGTTACCAAAGGGATGCTGGGACTTCAGCTTTGTTTCCAAATGTGCAGGAGGAAAGTCACAGCCTCAGCCACCTGCTTCCTGTCTCCACCATAACTCACACCTTTCAGGTCCACTTGGACTGAAGTTTAGATGAGATCTGCAAGAACCACTGCCCAGGGACCACGATGGTGCTAAGGCTCAGGTAGCCATGTGAAAGGGAGAGCATAAAGCTGGGACCTGAGACCCAAGGGGACTGAGCCAAGGTCACAAGACACGTTTTAGCTTATTCAGGAAAACCAGTTCAATCTCCATTACTGGTGGTTTAAGCGTGAAACTACTGCTTCCTGATAGGATGCACTGAGAGGGAGGCAACATCACTCCTATGACATTCCCGTGCCAAATGCATAATCAGAATCGAATTACAAGGAAACATCAGACAAGCCCAAATGGAAGGAATTCTATAAAATAACTGGGCTGTACTCTTCATTTCTACAATATACTGCACTGAAAGATAAAGAAAGCCTCGGGAACTTTTCCAGATTAAGGAAGACTACAGGGACATGATAACTAAATGCAATGTATGATCCTAGATTGAATCCTGAACCAGAAAAAGGGCATTATTGAGGCAACTGATGAAGTTTGAATTTGAGCTGTAGAGTATATAATATTATGTGTCAGTGTTAAATTTCCTGATTTTGATAATTGTACTATGATGATGAAAGAAAATGTCCTTGTTCTTAGGAAATAAACACTGAAGTATTTAGGGTAAAAGCATGATGTTTGCAACTTAATCTCAAATGGTTCAGAAAACAATAATAAAGTGTAAAGTATATGTGTATATATATGTGTGTGTATATGTATATAGAGAGAGAGAGAAAGAGAAAACACACAAAATAAAGTAAATAGGGCAAAATATAAGCAATTGGAAAATCTGTATAAGAAGTACACAGAAGTTCATTATTCTTGCAACTATTCTGTAAGTTTGAAATGATAGAAAAAGAAAAAATTTTAAAAATAGTGAGAATTATACCAAAATATAAATGTTTATTTTATTTAAAAGTTTGCTCTAGAAAATGATATAGTACATTGCTTAATGTTTGCTTAACTGTTTTACAAAAAAGAGTAATTTTAAAAATAAAATGAAACACTGACAATTCCACAGTTAAGAAAACAGTGAGGCTCTGACAATGCTCCCCCCGCATGAGCTTGTTCTAGTCCTTCACTGGTTAAAACAGATTTTAGCACTGAGTGAAAAAACAAGCCAAAAGTGTCTGCAAGCCCAACCAGGAGAAATAGTTTAACAATGCCGACACTCACCTCAGTGGGCTCATGGATGATGGGTCCTCAGCCTAAATGAAGTGGACATGTCAGTTGAAAAGCTGAATGACTCAAGTATCCAGACCAAATGCCCAAGCTGCCTCCAGCACTTTGAGGAAGGCACTGATGGAAGGTGCTGGGTAAGTCATGCTTCCCAGAAGGAAGGTAGGGGCAGAAAGGCATAGGGCAAGATACAGTAAGAAGCAGTGTGGTACGGGAGGTTATGTATGGGCAGTGAAACAACAGAGGGAGACTACTCCCATCTTGAGATGTCCATATTAATAAGCTTTGCTGCTCAGCAAAGAATAACTGAAAGCTGACTGTAAAATCAGTTTTCATCCATCTCACAATCTCTGGGTAATGCTGTCTACACAGGAAGTTCAGCAAATCCTCACCTGGGCAAACCAAATAGGTCAGCAGGAGAATCAGAAGGTCCTGGTCAGAATCAATAACAGAAGTTAAAAGGGCCATTAAAAGGAGGGAACAGGCATGAGGAGTGATGGGGCAGGTTATGGCCAGATTAACCAGGAAATTAAAAACGTGATATAGAAAAAAGGAAATGAAAATTGATGTCAGGCAGTGGTGCGCTGTTAAATGTTTAACAACTGACTTTCTGTGAGGAAAAAACCACCACCTTGATATATGTATCTGCCAATTTCCATCGTGTAAATATTTCCACCACAGCTGAGTTCAAGTTCACAACATGATGTGACTAAACACAGAGCTGAGAAGCGATGTATACCATCAGCTCTCACAAGTGAGTGTGAACTGGCTCCAGCATACCACTGGTGGTAGCTTGGGTACAGTCCTACAGCTCACTTTAGTAAGTAACTTAACCATTCTGGGTCTCAATTTCCTCATCTGTATAATGTCAACCTCATATGACTATTGAGAGAATGAAATGAAACAAATTTATCTCCATCTGAGATGTTTCCCAGCTCTGCCCATTTATGGGTCTGTGATGGAGTTAGCTATATTGGTGGCTTTTTGCCTTTTTCATCTCCCACCAAGTCTTGTGAGCAGGGAGAAGACAAGAGAATCCTAGAAGAAGCTACAGCACAGTGTGGTAATCAGACAAGAAACCACATCCACACTGCCTGAAGTATAAGAGGTCCAAGGTAGTGACCACTCCAGATTTCCTACACAGGACAGATTTCTGGGTGGGAATCTGTTTGGAAAGTGAGACTAGCGAATTTATACACTTTTGTTATTTTAATGATATATTTATTTGGGATATCTGAAGGGGTGTAAATGGTGCCAAGGCCAACGCAATGTGTATGTGCCCTCCTTTTCTACACTGCACCAGCATCTGCCTGGAAATGAAGAGTACGTAGTGAAACTAGGGTCTCTTCATTTGTTGATGTTCATCAAATCTAAAGGTAGTAAGTCAGTGCAACTTTTTTTGACTGCTATCTTTATGTCACTTCCATTGACTGATGCCTCGTTACATAAGTTGCCCTCAACACCTCCTTTGCTATGTCTCTAAATTGGAGAGACAAGTGCTCCACCCATCCCCGAAGACTTGGTTTGGTTCCACCATGAGCTCAGAATAGGTACTTGGGACCTCTGTACTTCTGCCTTTTGGAAGAGGTATCAGAATGTAACCAGAAATACAATCCTTTGAAGTTGTTACAACAAGCAAATGGAAAGGACATTGTTGGGTGGGAGGGGGGAGAGGGAGGAGGGAGGGAGGTTTCGGTGATGGGCCATAATAATCAACCACATTGTACATTGACAAAATAAAAATTTAAAGGAAAAAAAAAAAAAGAATGTAACCAGAAATACAATCCTTTGAAGTTGTTACAACAAGCAAATGGAAAGGACATTGTTGGGTGGGAGGGGGGAGAGGGAGGAGGGAGGGAGGTTTCGGTGATGGGCCATAATAATCAACCACATTGTACATTGACAAAATAAAAATTTAAAGGAAAAAAAAAAAAAGAATGTAACCAGAAATACATAAACCAGGGGTCAGAGGAATAAGTAAAAGTGACTGAATGATTGGTCCCTGTTGGGATTCCCAGGACTTCAAGCTAATGACGCCAGATGAATGGGAATTCTGGCCTTCATGTGCTGTTGATGTAGAATGAAAGAGAAAACCTTCACCCAGGCATTCAAGAAACTCCGAGTGCAAAAGGGTTTAGTAAGGTATAAGAGACATAATACCTTGTGCTTCCGGAGGCTGCCAGGACTGGTGGGCGTAGAGATGGGAGACTGCTTAGACTTGGGGGTAGAGAGCTGGCTGCTGGAGGTTCCGTTTGCTAGCCCAAGGCAAGAGAAAAGGAAGGGATAAAAATCAACAGCATACAAAGGAGCAAATTATCCGTCCCCTCCAAAGACACTAAGGACATTCAAATAAGATACACAGACAACCAAGAGATTTGATGAATAGAACAAAGATGAAAAGAAACACATTCCTCAAACGGGCAAGAACTGCAATCCCCAGTTCATCAGATCCCCGCGCAGTGCAAAGCAGTCGTCCTCCCACCCTCTCCCTCAGTGCTTCCCAGTCACAGGGGTCTGTTTCTTTTCAAACCTTTTTCATATCCATTCCCAGGTTTGATCCTAACATCTCTGGGAGGTAGCCTGCGAAGGTATTATCTTGCTTTAACTTTATAGAAAAGAAAAGTGAGGCACAGAGAGGTCATGTGCCTTACATTAACGGGGAAGAAATGTGAGTGATTTGGACTTGGGCATACACCATTTGGTGGCAGATGACGGGGTAGGTGCAGGACAGTCCCATTGTCAATCTGTCCCCCTCTCTTTTCCTGCTCATCCCCCCTCCCTTCCCTACCTCATCCTGGATGAAAAGGACAGAAGAAAGGAAAGAGAAAGTGGGCTAGTCAGGAAGAAGAATGAGAGAGAAAGTGGGGGAGAAATGGACAGTGAAACATTAAAAAAGGCTCAAACAGCAAACTGGGCAGAGGAGATAATCAAAAAAGAGAGAAACACATCAGGAATGGAGGGTAGGAAAGACAAGGAAGATAAGGTAAGAGATTAGAAGAGAAGAACGAGGAAGTCGAAACAGGGAGAAAGGCACAGAGACCAAAAGGCAGACAATGGCGGCCAAGGACAGGTGCACCCCCATTTGTCTCTAGCCCAGAAAAGGCTGAAAATGAGATGGTTTCCTTGCTAACATCTTCATATTCCATTGTGTTTTGAATTGCTTATATTCCCTTGCTAATGAACTTTTTCATATCTAATCATGAAAAAAGGAATGTGGTGCATCTGAATGGAACAATTAAACAGCTTTCAACATGGATTCATGTTCAGACATCTCATGCTAAAGTATTTTTTAAAAAATCTCAGGACCTACATTGCTAAAGTGGAGATATTTGGAAATTTGCTTTAAAAACAAAGGCAAATATCCCCAGAGTTTGTGGAGAATGAGCAAAGGAGAGAGGGAAGAGGAGGAGGAGGAGGAAGCGAGAGAGGGAGAGAGAGAGAGAGAGAATAAATAGAATATTGGAAAAGTTAAGCAGAAAGATGGCCCAAGAGTTTTGCTGTTAGTCCCACAGGTAAAGCTTAAACTGCTGTATCATGAATATTTTCTGAGATTATATTCCTTCTTCACTACTTATGGCAATGTTTTCCTAGGTTTTGGAACGTGCACATCAACTGTAGAGACAGAAGAAACATTACCGTGGTGGTTGCTGAGTTTATCCAAGTGCAAGTGAGCTGAAAAATGGGTACTTAGGCATCCACAGTTTGGTTTTACCTGTATATTCACTTGTCTCTCACCCACTCATTGAGAGGCCTTCCTCCCTGTCGTTCATTTGGCTAGTAGTTATGGAGTACTACCTGTGAGCCAGGCCAAGTATTAGACACTGGGTTTCAGAGACAAGTAAGTGATTTCCTGTGGGTGGAGAGGCAGGCAAGGATGCAATGGAATGAGTGCTAAGACAGAGCTGTGCATAGGGTATCACTGGAGCTCAGAAGACAGACTTTGAAATCAGGGAACTGGGAGGCAAACAAGAAGAAGGAACACCTGAGAAATCTTGAAAGATGAACTTGAAATAGACCAATCTATAGACAGAAAGTAGATTCATGGTTGCCAGGGACTGGAGGGGGAGGAGTTGGGGGGGAATGGAAAGTGTCTGCTAATGGGTGTGGGGTTTCTTTGGGGGAGACAAAGACATTCTGGCATTAAAATAGGGGTGATGTTGCACAACTCTGTGACTAAACTAAAATCTACTGAATTATACATCTATACATTATAAATGAATGAATTATATGTTATGTGAAATGTATCTCAATAAAGTCTTTTCTGGTTTTTTTTTAAAAAAGGTGAATAAGAGCTGGTTAGGCAGAGAGTATAGAAAAGGTATTCTAGAATTCTGCCATTTGCAGCAAGATGAATGAACTTAGGGAAAATTACGTTAAGTGAAATAAGCTGTGCACAGAAAGAAAAATATCCTATGTCCTCACTCATAAGTGGGAGCTAATAAACATATAAATAAAAGAAAGATACAACAATCACAACAATTTGTTGAACTTTCTAAAGGAGAGAATGGAACTGAGGCCACCAGAGGAGGAAAAGGAGGAGGGAGAGGGAGGGTTAGTGAGAAATTGGTAAAAGGCCACAAAAGTTAATACACTGCATAATGTAATTATCCTGATTTGAGCATCACATATTACGTACAGGTATTGATATTCAATGCTGTACCCCACAGATATGTACAATCAATTATGTTTGAATTTAAAAATTTTTTAAAAAATATATACTTATCCTAATAAAGTCATTAGAGAAATAAAAAGAAAGAAAGAAAGAAAAGAAAGAAGAAAAAGGTATTCTAGGCATTAGAATTTTACCAGCTGGGGGCAAAGACATGAAGGTGTGACAGAATACGGTATTTTTGCAGAAGTATAAGTAGCTCATAATGGGTCAAGAATAGGATACCGGGGATTCAAGGAGATGAGGCTAGAGATTGAGGGTACGGACCAGGCCCTTGGGGCCTTTGTGTGGCCTTTCTACAAAGTTTGAGTTTGATTTCTGAAGGGAAGTCAGAGAAGAATTTTAAGCTGAAAGCAATACAATAACATTTGAATTTTAAAACTATTACTCAAGCTGCTGTGGTAAGACTAGGGTGGGGTGAACTGGAGTAAGGGTAGAAGAAAAGAGTTGGTTAGAAGACATTGCATTAGTCCAGGTGAGGGGTGATAATGGCTCAGACTAAGGCAATTGGGAGGGAGAGAAGAGCCATAGAAGTAGAAAGGGACCTAGAGGCCAGATAAGCTTAGAGTGTTATGTTTATATACCATGTAAGCCACCCAAAGAAGAATATGACCTGTGCCAAACAGCACAAAGTTGGACTAGACTTTGCCAAGGCACCAGGCTTTCTGGTGAATAAAGGATGCACTTTAGGAAAGGCAAGAGCCTGGGGAGCCACAACGGGGCAAAGCAGTCAATTACTCTTTGTAGGAAATGGAGTTAATAGTTGAAAGAGTTAATGTACCACCTACAGTGCCTGAGGGCTTCCCCAGCAGGACCTGACCCCTAGCATTCAGGATAGAAGCAATCTTAGAGACCTTTATGAACTGACACAATGGAAGTCTTGCAAAAGAGTCCTGACATTGGCCATGAAGTCTGACAGACGAAGGCATCCCCAGTTAGTTCTCATCTGGCATTTTGTTCCACATGATCGCTGTATCCTTCACAGAGTGCAGTTTCCCGGCATTTGTTACCCATGCTACAAAGGGTGGTTATATTACCTACAGTATTAAACATATCTTTTTCACCTATATACTTATCTAGCTGAAAATGAGCCCACAGGCCTTGACAAAATGTGGAAAATTGTCAACCACAGCATGTTTGCATGCGAGTCAGTTTCCACCTATTGGCTACATTTCTGAATGTACAGTCATCCCTTAGTATGTGCGGGGTATTAGTTTCGAGAGCCCTGTGGATACCAGAATTCATGGATATTCAAGTCCCTGCTATAAAATGGTGTAGTATTTGCATACAACCTACACACATCCTCCCATATACTTTAAATCATCTCTAGATTACTTATAATACCTAATACAATGTAAATGCTACATAAATAGTTGTTATACCAAATTGTTTCTTATTTGTATTATTTTTGTTGTTGTTTCTTTTATTATTTTTTCTAATATCTCTTATATTGATTGAATCCACGGATACAGAAGTCATGAAGGGCCAACTGTATAGGCTCTTTTGCAACTTCCAGTTCTTTTTTTCTCAATATCCTCTGAAACTCTCTCACTCAATAACTTTAGGGTTAGTACATAACACATATTCCATATATGCCTCTCTATATATTCTCTGCATATGTGTACACGTTTATATATGTTCCCTATGCCCCTCCCCCAGAGAATCAATCTTAAGCTGTCTGTAAATTAAGGACTTTATTTGCTCATCAACATTCAACAAGCATTTTGGAAATCGGTTTCTAATAATTAAACTGCCACTCACTGCCTTGTGGAAAAAATGCAAACACTTTCCCAGTCTTTCTCAGAGTTCCCCGATGAAATGAAATTCAAAGGTGGACACAGAAAAATGAGAAAATGTAGATTCCTTACAAGTTGAAGGAGTCCCTGTGTTTACAGACTAGATAAAAATGTATTCACATACACATTTTATCTGTGGATTCAATGGGGAAAAAAATGGGAAGATGCCATTTGATATGGATTCTGTAGCCAATTCATATAAATGTCAAGTAAAAGAAACAGCAGGAAATAATACAAATAGGGTCTGATGAACTGTGTGTGCTCTTGGATTGGGAAATTCATATGGAAAGGCTGTCACATTTCATCTTGAGAGTGGCTGAAAATGGTGCCACTGTTTGATATCTTTCCTTTTGCTTTATTCTTTTTTAATAAATATCCTTAGCCTCTGATCTTTGATTTTTCAGCAGCAATTTGGGAATGCCTTTGTGGGGGAGGGAGTTTTCTCCCTTTGACTTTTCTCTCTTTCTCATTTTCCTCCTCAGAACCACAGCACTATCTCAATGTTCTTGCCTTTTATTTACACATACTCCAAATCCTCTCATTCCTTTCTTCTCTTTGTACAGTTCATTTTTTCCCTTTTGCAACAAGGTACATCAAAGACTTTCCAATCTCCTAGAACACCTTATCAGTCTTATCAACAAAAATAGGATAATAATTACTGTTTACTGAGCATCTATGATGAGTCAGGTGCGCTCTCTCTCTCTCTCTCTCTCTCTCTCTCTCTCTCTCTCTCTCTCTCTCTCTCTCACACACACACACACACACACACACACATGTTCCAGTTAGGGGT